ATTTCCAAACTTGGAGCACATATTTAAACGACAAATTCTCCCAGAAACAATTAGTCATTCTACACCTGTCCATCTAGGGCACTGACACGTATTCCAACATAATCCATCATGATAGCCAAGCCATTTTCTTTTTTTACGCCTCAAAGAAATCATTACGTGTGCGTCTACTGGGTTTTTCCTTTGGTTGTTCACTAAACACAAAGTGGAAGTCCACAGATTATACAGATAGCCTCAACTAGGGTTTCCATATGGCCTTTGAAAAAAGGAACAGTCCAAAAGCGAAAGTATTTGTCAAACACATCCTGTTTCCTGTCAAATGTGTACAAAATCATTTAACACTCAAAAGTATTACAAAAAGAGATAATTTTGGTAGGGTTGAAGACATTGCCTGGTTCCTTATTTAAATTTCAAGGAATTCGCAACGATACCCCAACTTAGAACACAACCATAGCAACCATTTTAAATTTGCATTCAAATACTTTCATCAGTAAGCAAATTGTTAGCGGTAATGCTGTGTTTACACATGTTCTATCATCCATATGTTTTGCTCTCTGTGACAAATAGAAGGATTCTGTTCAGTACAGTCATTCACACTGGATCCATGGCTAAGTAGCACGACAGAGAGCTCTCCTTCAGGATTGACTGTTATCGACAGAGTAATAAACTTACATTTCCCTAAAGAAGAGATAAACTAAAAAGAAAATCAGACAAAAGCTGATCAGTTACATGTGAAGACTTAAAAATAATGCTTAGACTTAGACAACTTTTATTGTCATTTTGTATACACACAGTGTTTTGTATACACATAGGGCCGGATCTATCAAAGGTTTGCGTGTATAAAAACGAGAGCTATTTCACTGCGCACGCTAAAAAATGTACAAACTGATCTATCAACAGCGTGCTAAAAGGATTTGGTCTTTAAAACGTGCTAAATAGCGCCTCTTATCCATTTAGTACTTTTTCTGCAATGAATATTCAATATTGGGCGTTTACACGCAAAAGTGCGTCTTGTGGGAGGAGAACATGTAAATATATTAATTTAGCACTCGCAAAGTGATTTATCAAACCTGAAAGCAATTTTGCTAACGGTATCTGACTCTATATTTAACACGTTTCAAAAGAAGGTGCAAATGGTCTGTATGCGTAATTGCGCACACAGACCACACACGCAGCGGTTATTGTCGCAAGAAGGAGACATCGAAATGAAGCAAGGAGACGCATTTTTTCACTCCGTGTGAATATTTTTGCAATGAAGGAGGAAATGATCATCAAAACATTTCGTTAATCCAGCATTGACATTTTGGAGCTGTTGGGGGGAACTCCGAATGAATTTGGAGCCAGCCACAAGGAGGACCCACGCAATACCAGATATCCCAAAACTCCTTGCAACATTGCACTTTTTTGCATCTGGGATCTCCCAATCTCGTTTTTCAGAAGTGCTGTCCAACGTTCTAAATGCCATGTCGCCCTGACGCCCTAATGGAGAGAACCCCGACCTCCCGCCTTGCGCCTGTGGAGCAACATGCCAATGCTGCGGGGATGCGCAGTCATCTTATCCACAGTCACTTCTTGTGAGCCATTTGGTATGTGCATTTTTCTACAGGCCAATATAAAACACCTGTTTTTTTTTTTCGTTTTTGTTTTTTTACTGCGGTGAAGTAGAAATTCAGCCACATACCACCTTAGGATAAAGGTTGCCAAAGTTTATATATATTTCTTTTTTTGGAGGGGGTGGGGGTGTCACTGTAAGATTAAAATTTCTTAATGCACTAGTTTGCACCACATACTTTGCCGCAAACCACAAAACGCGCAAAACCATCATTTAAATAGGGCGTCTCCAACAGTTTTGCACCTGCCACCAGTTACGCAATCGCTCTTGTTAAATCACCCGCAAACCATGGTTCAGCCCCTCGCGCAAAATTCCAGTTTGCGAGCGCAAATTACTGCACGCAAAATTGGATCTTGATAAATCCGGCCCATAGCGTATAAAAAACGAAATTTTGTTTAGTAAAGCTTTTCAGATAGTACATAAACATTTCCACTCCATAAAGTGCAGCAGTGATCAAATGTAAACAGCGTGGGAGAAAAAAAAATGGTGCAAAAAATGCATTGATATGGAGGTTTTGATATATATATGGTGCAAATATGCAGTGTTTTTGGTTTGGTGTTATCAGTGTGATCCAGAGTTTGTGACATTATTTAGAGTTTTTTCAACATTCAGCTATCTGATGGTGATGGAGAAGAAGCTGTTTTGGAATCTGCTGGACCTTCATCAAATGCTGCAAAGCCTCTTCCCAGAGGGCAGCAGGGAGAACAGTCCATGGTGGGGGTGTGAGGGGTCATTGTTAGAGGCTCGGGACACGCAGCACTGAGATGAAATGTCTTTAATGAAGGGAAGAGGAGCCCCAATGATCCTCTCTGCTGTTCTCACCACTCTTCTTACCTTCTTCCAGTCTGAGGCGCTGCAGCCTTCACACCCCTCAATGGGACAGCTGCTCAGAACGCTTTCTATGGTGCTTCTGTAGAAGGTTGTGAGCATGGGTGGGGGCAGGTGGGCTCTTCTCATCCTTCGCAGGGAGTACAATCGCTTTTGTGCAATGTGTGTTTGCTGACAAAGCCCAAGTATTAGAAACTACAGATGTTCCAGTTACAGAATTGTCTCCAGCTATTATTCTCTGACTTCTGAAAGCTCTAACCGGGTTATTCTAATTTCTCTCTAAGAATTATGAATAGAATAAAACCCAAAAATACTTTGCCTATTTTCTAAAACTAGACTATCTAAAATAAACAACAAAAGGCTCTTTTTTACTGTATGTTAAATCTTTACTTATTTAAAAGCATCACATGAATCAATTTACTGGTTTAGTAAACATCCTGATGCTCCAGTGTTTTGGCCTGAGTGTTTCTCTAGAAGAACAAGTGAAAACAAATGAATCACTAACCATCTTCTTTATACATCTGAGAAGATTCTCAGTCATCCAGGTCATAATTAAGCTTGAAAAAGTTCAGTTTAGGCAACTGGACGTGAAGTTTTCTGGACCGTGCGGTTCACCTCATAAAAGACAGACAACTCAACATAGAAGTCTACAGAAAATCCACACACATTGACCAGTACCTGTTTTCACTCACACCACCCACCAGAACACCAACTAGACGTAATTAGAACTCTCCAGACACGAGCAGAAACTAACCATCTATAGAGGGAATTGAGAATTCCTTTTTTAAACCTGCAGCAAATTAATTCCAGTGCTCCCCAACACTAGTTTGAGTCGAGGAAGTCTCTTGGATGAGAGGAGAAACATCTTCTAGAAAAATTAATGTCCAGTGTCCTAAACTGAACTTTTTCAAGCTCTATCTTCTTTACTTTTCTGCATTTTATTAAATATCTTCTTTCTTTTAGAACACTTCAAATGCCCTTTTTCATGATTGTTTAAGCTGTCCAAAGTAATTCATAGGTATATAGTATATGATGAATTATGACTTTTAGCACAACAGAATATAAATGTTTGGCCTACATGCCTCATGACAGGGTGCAACACTTAACTGTATTTCATCTCTTCTCTAAGTCAGCTTCTTTTTAATAACTAGCTGGTGTTATTTATTTATTTTTTTTCTTTTCCAATGGATTTCTTTAAAATGTAATGTTATTTATGGGATGACGTTTTAATTATTTTCACTTCATCTGCTGATTTTTATAAATGGAACTGTTATTAGCTTGACTTGGATGATCTTTATTCAACATTTCAGACTGCAGAGTTTCTATTATAAACCCAGGGAACATGAAAAGTAAAGGTTATATTGCCCTGGAAAGCAAGCAGTTATTTTGTGTTCACATATTTCAGTGTTTGTTTGCCAAATACACTTTCTTTTAAGAGCAGAGGAATAGCGTGCCTGTTTCTAGCAATAAAAACTTGCCCCTGGAGGAGTTTATATGTTGCTCCTGGGGACTCAGAGCTTGTAAAAGTGCCGGAGCAGTTGGATTTGTTTTGCTTAGGGCATCTGGCAGGATATATAGTGTTTCTGCTGTTGAAATAGTCTGTGCATTTATTGCCACTTCTAGTGGAGGTAAACATAGGCGATAGAAGATGTTTCTTGATGCTTTAGATCTTGTGATTGTGGTTGTTTTAATGATGACTTCCTTAGCCCTTAGAGTCATTTGTTTCATATGTCTCTGGGGACATACGCCCCCCTGTGGCTTAATGCAAGGTAAAATGAATAAAGAAAATAGGTGGAATTAAGTTAGAAAGGTAGGTAGTTATTTCAGACACGACTCAGCATTATCTGTACGATTTGAAAATCAGGGCATAAGTCTTCCATTTGCAAAGCTAGAATTATTGAATTTTTATTTTTGACAAAATTTGAATATTTGTCTTAATAGCTACAATTGTCAACAAATGCATAGTGTAACAATGCTTACTTTAAAATCAATTGGATGTTAGTGCTTGTTAAAATCTATGTATCTAATGACATTATATTTTTCCATAAGCTCAGATTTTGTTACATGGCCTCCAACAGCCATGGCATAGATCAGAACTGCTCCTTGCCTGGGGCAGGCTACCCTAGAGTACCAACATTACTGGGTTAGCAAACATGATTCAGCAAAATACCAACACTTTAAAGATTAGTCAAAAATCTTTAAGTTTGCATAAATAGGTTTAAGGTTAGATGAGAAGGCAGTTTGGGTTGTTCTTAAACAAAGGTTTATAATTTTGGGTAAACACTCTGCTACTCTTACTGTGTTCAAATTAGCTTGTTGGTTCTGTTGGTCTTTAGGACAATGTAAACTCATCACATTTACCTTTGAACAGAAATAGTTCAATTAAATTATGGCATACTATTAAAAAACAACAGATGCTACGTATGTGTTACGTCCTTGCTAATAAAGAGCCAATTTTGCTTCTTAGGCTGTTTAATACAATAACTGAAAGGGTAGCATTAACAACAGTATATGAGTTTGCACTGCATTAACAACACATCATCTGTGTTTCCTACTCTCTTAGTACAAACAAGTGGAGCAGTATATGTCCTTCCACAAGCTGCCTGCTGACTTCCGACAGAAAATCCATGACTATTATGAGCACAGATACCAGGGCAAGATGTTTGATGAGGAAAGCATCCTGGAAGAGCTCAGCGAACCACTCAGAGAGGTAATATAAACACTATCAGCTCTACCTATTTAGCATTGTCTTCCTTTGACTAATATTTGTTTATTTTTGTAACCTACAAGATGTGCTTTGAATACCCAGCAGATTAAAAGACACATAATGTCTGCATATATGTACTTGAAAAAAAAAACAAAGATCTGATTTTCTTTTTAGGAAATTGTTAACTTCAACTGCCGTAAGCTGGTGGCATCTATGCCGCTGTTTGCCAACGCTGAGCCAAACTTTGTCACAGCAATGCTGACTAAGCTACGTTTTGAGGTATTCCAGCCTCATGACTACATCATAAGAGAGGGTACCATTGGCAAAAAAATGTATTTCATCCAGCACGGCGTATGCAGTGTCATCACCAAAGGCACACTCGCTATGAAGCTGTCAGATGGCTCGTATTTTGGAGGTGGGGTGTTTTTTTATCTACTTGTTTGCCCTGGGTGTTACTGTTTCTCACTTAACCTTTAACCTTTGCTTTACTGTTTCAGAGATCTGCTTATTGACAAGGGGTCGACGGACAGCCAGCGTGAGAGCAGAGACATACTGTCGCCTCTATTCTTTATCTGTTGACAACTTCAACGAGGTGTTAGAAGAGTATCCCATGATGAGAAGAGCCTTTGAAACTGTTGCCATTGATCGTCTAGACCGTATAGGTAAAATAATTGAGAAAACATTGAAAATATCCAAGGCATCCATCTATTGATGAGTAAATTCACTGGGTTTGGCATACAGAATTTTAAAAAGCATAAACTAGTGCATGTGCTTCAGGGGAGCTTAACTGAGTGTACAATCAAGACATAACATATTACACTAACTGTCATATCGTAATCCTAATACCATTAATCAATCTCATATATAAAATTGAGATAAGAACAACCCTCATATATGAACTTGATGCTTAGAAATATAATAATTTCAGGTTGTCATCTGAGGGCAGAAGCTTATTTCCTCATTGCAGAATCTCGTTAGATAGAAGAGTAAAATTATTGGCATTGTTCTCTTAAAAGGACATAGGACACTGTAATAGTATACGATGGTGCAGAGTGACACAAATACTTTCCCCAGGACCTGTTCCTACAGAGGATGTGCCTGGTGTGAAGGGCATCACACCCTCTATAAAACTTCTGATGTATTTTCTTTGAAATATTTGATATGCTTGTTTTTATGTTTTGTTCATCTTTTTTATTCCTTCTGTATGGTTCTTTGCATTCTCTAACACTGCCATTTTTTTCTTGCTGTAGGTAAAAAGAACTCAATCCTGATGCACAAAGTTCAGCATGATCTCAATTCTGGCGTATTTAACAATAGAGAAAACGAGATGATCCAGGAAATAGTCAAGTATGACCGGGAGATGGTGAAACTGGTGGATCTGCAGCGGCCAAGGGCCATGTCTATGACCCCAACTATAGGTGGGATCTTTGCTCCTCCAGGACAGCCTCAGACAGGCTCCGCAATTGCCACCCTCCAGCAAGCTGTGGCAATGAGTTTCTGCCCTCAGATGGCAAGTCCTTTGGTGGGTCCTGGGACTTTGCAATCTCCACGTATGGTGCGAAGGTTCCAGGTGATGCAGAACTTATCTAGTCCAGTCTCAATGTCTCCTCTGCAGTCTCAACCTCCCCAAACATTTGGAGGGGCATTTGGATCTGCTATTTCAAGCCCCCCAGTCCAAAGCCCGCTTACAGCTACCGGACGGACTTTTCAGTACATGGCAAGTGTAGGACCATCTGGGTCTCAGCTTTCCCTTGTCCAGCATCATGCACCCAGCCCCACGCAGACCACACAGCAAAGGCCTGTCTCATACAAGAGTACCCACTCCCTTCATGCAGGTAGTTTGAGTCAGGACACCCGAGCCCTGTCTGCCTCCCAACCTTCACTCCCCCAGGAAGGAACACCACAGGCTTCCTCTGCAGCCCCTAGTCCCCCACCTTCAACCCGCACTTCCAACTCCTCCATTGGCCCCCAACAACCCCCTCACCACAACCTACCGGGACCCTCAGGTGTGGGGAGATCGACTGGAGCCCAGCAGAGGGTGGCCTTTGCCTCCACACCTCCTCCAGGTGGACCTACTGGAGTGGGGGCAGTAGCAGCAGCTGCTGGACCAGGACCTCCAGACTCTGGAGTTCTCAAGAAAGATTCGATTGTCAGCCTTCCGGAGCTAGACTCTGCCAGATCCCGGCTGTCTTCCAACTTGTGACCCTAGTGGAGTTCAGTAGAGAGGCCTTTTTTTTGTAGGAGAATCTGTTTGGTTAAGGTCAGTTCAGCTGATCATTCCGCTTGTGACCAATCAGCTACTACCAGTGCCACCAGTCATTCAACCTGGATGCACTGTGTGCTGGAGTCAGTAGAAAGAAAAGAGCTGCTCAAAGTATTACAATACTTTGGCTATGGGGAGTCACTATGATTATACTAGTATATAAAATTAAGGTTGAACTTGTCTGGTCTGCTGTGCCAGCACCTTTAGTCTTAGTATCACCCCTTTCACTCTGCTTCCAAACACCTACTGCATATCGCTGTCTTTCCTGTAAAGATATGACGAAAAGTGTGATTAATGTACCAATTACATACTGTGTAGAATCCATGCAATGCAATCTAGCAGGAGCTTGACTCAAAAATGAAAATCAGGGACTTGAGGTCAAATGACAATTACATTTTAAGCGTTCAAGGTGTTTTAATTGTCATTTTTTTTTTGGTATAAGCTGTCGTAGCAAAGCAACATCTTCATATTGTTTAAACTTGTAGTGGAGTTAGTGTTTTAGACCGCTGGTCGATCTTACATCATTGTGTATATAGTTGACGAAAAAAGTGAGGAACATTATATCCATTGTATCTACCCAAAACCAAAGTTGAGCTTGAACACCAAGTCTGGTCGTGTCTGTATCAACTAAAAAAGAAACATAGAAGAAAACGCCATTTATTTAACTGCCTTGATTCAACGTTAGAAGCCATATATTTCGTTTGTGTGTATGCATATTTGTGTGTGTCCTCCGTGTGCGTGTGCCTGTGTGTGTGCACGTGCAAGAGAGATTTTGTTGATACGTTCTGGTTCAATTTTTCACAGAAGGGACTCATGCACTCTACAACGTCGTCAAGTATGACTGTTTAGACATGCTGACGGTGGCACTGCCCTGTTTTCATTAATCATCTGGAAAGAGGTCAGCTGTTTTTTCAACATACTGATTGTAACCCAAAAGGCAAAGATGGTTTAATAATCTGAGCTTTACTGAAAGGAGGCATTTGGGAACAACCCATACTGTATACTTGCTTGTTTCTGTCTAGGTTAAATGATTAACACATGCAATATAATTCTGCAATACTCTACCCCGCCTATATATATAAATATATATATAAATATGAATATCTATACTTATTCTGTACAGGAAAGTGAACTTGTTTCTGTATGTATTTTTTTTGTTTGATTTTTAATGTGAAATCTTAAAGAATCCAGCAGCTATTGTGGCTAAACTTGAGGTATTGTAATCCAGTGACCATGTTGTTACCTTAACCAAAAATGTGTGAGGGAATGAAAGGGTATGTTGCTGTATTATTTTTGTGTTGAAAACGAAACACTCTCATCTGAATGCTTGCCACTGGTTTAAAGACACGGAATGGAGTCCACCTGAGTCAGCAAATCAGACCATCAAAAGGAAATGTCACCCGAAAAGCATTTTTCAAATGTTGAAAAGTGTAGGGGTGGCCATTATGGGGTACAGAAGCCTTAGTTGTAAAAAAGTCACCTAAAACTTTGGTGAATGTCTCCGCTTGCAGGTCCACAGGTAAATTTTGGTTGAAAGTGTGAGAATATGTCGAGGCTTTGATAATATTTATTCGAAACATCCTGATCCTGTTCATCCTAAAACTCCTTCTACTGCTGAATGTATGCCATACGAGAAGGAAGATAGGTAATCCGTTTTAACTGCCATGTAAATAAAGGGACAGAGGATTTTGTGATGCAAGGGGGGGCTGGGCATTGGTGTATGAGATGCTGAGTGTCTGTGTGATCTTTTTTTTAAAGCCTTTTTTATGTTATTTGGGTTAGGGATTGCTGTATTTACCATTTATACTACCCCCATCCCCATTAATGAATATTTAAAGGAGAGGTTTTAAAGAATTGCTGAAATGGGCATGAATGAGAGTATGCTGGAATCTCTCTGTGCAAAGTGAGAAATGAGGACAACCACCTAAGCACCTTGTGTTGCACTATGATCTTGTAATCAAAAACAAAATCAATGCTCTGTTCTCTTAAAACTGTTGTCGCACTTCTTCTGGACCCGTTATCTGGTTAAACTGTAAAGACAAAATAAAGGTGAATTCAATTGGGGTAAATAGGCAGCTGGTTCATTGTGTTAAATAAACACAGTGGCCAAGTTTTTCTGGTCTGATATCGATCCAGAGCCAAACTGTAAATCTATCTGATGTACATTTCACTCAGGTTACTACCTTTCCACAGAGATGTATTGATTGCCACAATGTGGCTCTCCATTGATTTATGTAGACATGTCTATTTCCATATTTTGAGCTTGTTGATTTTAACACCCTGGTTGATTCAAATTGGCATAGAAATGGGAATTAATAACCCTAAGATTGTTGTCAGCTTTACTGCCTAAGGTTCTTGATCTTTCACTTTGAGTTGTTAAAAAAAAAATATGAGTTGGTGATTGTGTTTATCCAAGGGCTTCATTCTCAGGCTTGTGAACCCTAGGTCATTGTTATACATCTCCATCTCAATAAAATCAAATGTGATCCAAAAGTAAATTATTTGAGTAATTTAAATAAAAAACTGAAACTTGCAGAATGAAACATTTCCCACAATTTTGATGATTATAGCTTCAAGCTAATAAAAACCTGAAATTTTATTTCTTGGAGAATTTGAAAATGATTTAGGGACCAACATAATGGATGTTAATACATAAAAATCAGTCTGCTAAAACAAAGCCTTTCATTGTACTGTGCTCTTTCAGCATGATATATTTGTTTCAGAGTCATTTTTTAATGTATATTTGCCTCAGTTCAGCATATGGAAGTGGTCAGCATTTGGATCTGCGGATTTCAAGGAAGCCATGTTTAATAACATGTCTTTTCTTGTGTTGTTGTGTCTTTTGTCCTCCTCTAAAAAATAGATTTTCTGTGGAGTTCAGGTCAGGGCACTGTGCTGGTCTATCAAGACCAGTAAAACCAAGGTCATTGAACGGGTATTGATTTGTATTGTTAATATAGGCAGGTTCCAAGTCACCTGCAGATGAAATGGCTCATCAGATTATGGACACTTCATCTTGAACTGCAAAAAAATTGGATTTCGTGCCTATTCAACTATTCCTCCAGACTTTGTTTTGTCAATTCCATGGTAAATGGTATGTACTTATATAGCGCTTTTTCAAGTCAGGAGACTTGACCAAAGCGCTTTACACTACATTCAGTTATTCACCCATTCATGGACACACTGATGGTGGCAAGCTACATTGTAGCCACAGCTGCCCTGGTGCTCACTGTGACAATGAAAGTGAAGTGTCTTGCCCAAGGTCACAACGACAAAAAAAGTCGGACCCGGGGCTTGAACCGTCAATCCTTCGATTTCAGAGCAAACTCCTACATCCGATGCTACTGTCGCCCCATTCCTTCAAGATAAAAGAACTCAGAGCCACATAGCACAGAGCGTCTTTGATATCTCTGGGTCAGGACGTTAAAGAGGAAATAAACATTTTTTAGTCAATCTCCAGGATATGTGTCTATGTGGTGGCTCTTGAGGCCCTGAAATTAATGCATTTGTGTTTGGTGCCTATGCATATGACAATTCCTCCTGGGGAATAAAGAAAGTTTCTATCATAACTAGTGTCATCTGCATCACAGAGTCTAGACCTGGTCCAAGCCTGTAAAATTCAAATCTTGAATGGGGTTTTCTTTAGAATTGTCTCTGGCACTGGTAGTGGCACCACTCGCTACCTCATTTTTTCCCCCACTCAACTTTCAATTGATAGGCATGGTCATAATTTCCCACACAGTCAACTGTTTTAACAGTGACTTTTGGTGGTTTACAGCTCTTGAAGGGTGTTATTGACACATGCTTTCTAAGTCATCCATCTTATGTGTCATACATTTCTGAGAGACTGAATTATTCGTTTTGATTAGCAACAAGCTATAATCATCAAAACTGAAGCAAAAGCTTGAAATTTTCCTTTGAATGTAATGAATCACCTTTTAAATTAAAGAGGAGTGGAACAGACACCTTCTCTGTTTCACAGAAAAGCCTGCGTTATTTGTGTTTTACCGGAGTCATAAAACAATTTCCCCAACTTATCAGTGAAACATGAACTATGAATAGATTTTTTTTCCTATGGGAAAAGTATACACCAACCCTGTTCTGAATGAAGTCTATCTAAAGTAGTGTTATGTGCGCTTCAGTACTGTTCTGTCTGATTAATTGGTCCTTCCCCTTATTTCTTTTTGCTAATACCAGAGTTTGCCCTGTTAAGCTGCTATCAAGACTGTGCAGATATCTGAATGAGTCCACAGTCGGCGAGAGCAAGATGAATGGAGAATTAAAGAGCTAATGTTTCAGGCAATATCAGGCACCGTCTCTGTTTCATTGCATCTACATGTAGTGTGTAATTCCCTCCCAATCAAAGAATGGCATTTGAGAAACTCTGAACGGCTCCCCTCAGTTTGAACCCTCAGCCGTGGGCCTGATACAGCTCTGGCCAAGCACACACTGCCAGTTTATCTGTTTTTGTGTTTGTCTCACGAGTTGTTCAGTGTGTTGGCATCAAGCTGCCGTAGAGACATGTGTGCTGTGTTAGCCTAATGGCAAGCGGGTTCAAAGCATGATCGTTTAATAATTCTTCTTCTGGACTTTGCTGTGAAGAGGGAATGAATTCCTTCACATCTGTTTGGCACTGACTGACAATTATTGAGAATCTCAAAGCTTCAAGCCTCTCACTCTTGCTGTACCAGATGTTAAGGGTACTGAATGCCTTGGTGTTGATTTGTTAGCAAATCAGGGTCTTAAGTTTGTCTGTTCTCTCTGATTTATCAGTCTGTTTAATTTGGGTGTAGTTCTATCGTTTATATTAACAATGTGCCCTCTGCACATGGACTGTATATACCTTGTGCCTAGTACATCTAGTTTCCACATAGTCTATTTTGTGGTATGTATGTGCCTGTAAAAATGCAAACATGTGTTTTTATTTCCAACTTGCAATATATGTACAAACCATTAGATGACTAGTATTGCTAAATTATAATGACAATGTCAGTATATATAATTTTCCCTGATAAGGGAAACACAAAATTGCACATTTTATGTTGGGTTGAACCTTCCAACACCATGCGCGCTGTACTCTGTACGTTCATGTTCTGTACATATGGTATACACAGAGATGTGGGGCACCCTCTCGGGGTTTCACCACAACCTGCTATATACGCATCATTTCTAAAGTGAGAGGGTTAGCTCCTGGTGGATAGCAACAGTCTAGATGTTAGCATAGGAAATCTGCTTGAGCCAAAAACAGCAGAAGTTAACAAGGAAAACAGTGCTAATGTTTGCACAAAATATGAAAACAAAACAAACAGCAACAAAAAAAAAGACAAAAAAATGAACAAAACAATAGGCTGTGCATATGCTGGAAAATCATCAGATTTTGCCGTCGCGCAGCTTTTCACATTGATGCCGGCTGCACACTGATCTGGTGTTGGCTGTTACAGGGAAAAATAATCATCTCCAAGACTAAGTCTAGCTCTTGAGCCACAGCAAGTCTTAAACATGACTCCCAGATGAGTTAGCTGGCAGATAAAGCAGAGTGCATGCCTGTATTTTTCTCATTTTTAGCAGAGTTCTGTGTATGATTGTTGTGGGACCTTCAAATCTAGAAAATTGCTGTGTACCAACTACTGTACAATGATTTTTTTTTTTTTTTGTCTTAAAGTTTAACTTTTGTGTCGTAGCTACTGTAGCCTGCTTAACTTACCTAAGCCTTCTCTCTGCTTCAGGACTCTGTGTGCTTGAGTTTGTATGTGTGCGTGTTCCTGTGCCTTTCCTTCTATAATGTTGGTCCCACTTGAGAATATGATGCCATTTAGGGGGTTGAAGCCCACATGAAGCTGAGAAATGCCAGCACAAATAATAACAAAGAAATCATTGCTAAATGGTCTCAACTGCAATTGTTTTAGAAATAAAAAACTATATTGAAATGCTCTATAGAATTGACTCTAGCACATCCTAGACTTAGTAGCATTCCTGAGCCTGCACGAACGGCTCAGTGTGGGGATCCAGACACACTTTACCAGCACCATGTAGACGACAGCACAGATCTCTAAAACAGCACGTCTCCTCTCTATGAAAGCCAGTCTGCAAACATCTCAGGCTGTGCTCGGCTTCTGCTTATACAAAAAACAAAAAGGTTCAAGTATTAATTGACTAACCCTGTTTTAAGTTAATGTTTATATTTCAGTGACAACTCAGTCCTAAGCCCCAGCCACAGCACTACCAAATTAGTCAAAAAGGATGAGGGGGTCTTTAGTAAATCTGTGTTGGATTCCAATCTCTCCAGAATGGACTGCTATGCTAGTGGCTGGGGTGATGGACTGATTTGGTCCTGTGTTCAAAAGGCTGTCTTGTCCACCACCTCTGTTGACCAACAGCACAGAGCCACACCCTGGTTTATCTCAATAGCTGGTCTGTCAGTCAGTGGCAATGTTGTTTCAGCATCAATAAACAGACATAAAATACCTTGTTGTGCAATAAAAAGATGAGCGCATTGGCATACTTATCCTCGAGTGTGGAAGTTTTTTTTTGTCTGTGTTTTTGTTGGTATTCTGAAGTTTTTTCAGCATGTGAGACAATTTACATACAGTGCTGAGTAAATATTAAAAAAAAAATTAAGCTACAACTATTAGCATTTTATTTACATGTTATATGATTCTTAAAAACACTCTGGAAATATTCTTATCCTTCAGGGTGACAGGGGGGCTGATGCCTATCTCCTTTAGTCCATCGCCACAGGCATGGTACACACTGGACAGTTCCCGATTGAATTGCAGGGCAACACATAGACATACAACCATGCACACACACACACATGCAATTTAGAGATGCCGACTTTTTCCTTTCCTGTTCTACTTTCCCATTGCAGTGTCCATATAATATGTAATATTCCCTGCATGAAATATAATAAAGCTATTTACATGCATAAATCAAGCAGAACACTATGGCGATAGCTGTACTGCTCCACTTGTCAAAGTAAAATATTTTGGGCTCTTTTTGGCATCACAACAATTATTCTTATTGCCACATAGCCAGACAGGACGCAAAGATACCGATTAACCAAACAGTCATGTTTTTGGTGTCAGGGCTCAAAACAGGGGATCCAGTACTCAAGGCAGAGAGACAGTCGAATAATCCAAAAAGCGTTTATTAAAAAACAAGCATCTGCAGTTACAGTGAGGATGTCTAAGGCAGGAACCTCTGCAGGAGGAAAGCACTGGTTAGTGACCACGTTAATCTGATGGCGAATGATTATGAACGGGTGAGTCACTCACCTATTTTTATAGTTCAGTCCGTGCCCAGAGAAGAAGGTTGATTCCAGCCGGCTGGCTGACAACAAGATGCGGTGGACACCACCCATAGTGTCTCAGACACTGTAGTCCCAGTGGGCAAACAAGCAGGTAATCCAGAGGGCGAAGCAAAAGCTGGTGTCAAGATATACGCAGGATTCAGAACAAGGAGATCAGAAGTCTGAAGATGTTCTAAAGGGAAATCCAGGTTGGTGACAGGAAGCAGCTCCAAGTTCAGCAAACAGACAGAATCCTGCAGGAGTACATAAATAGGTCAGGCAAACAAATCAGATGGGAACAGACAGGCTCAGTGGCATAACAGGTCAGGATCAGGTAATCAGAAACACTAAGGTAACACTCTACCACTGGCTTGAGAAAAATCTTGCACTGATGACTAGTGGGCTGGTTAAATAGAAGCTGGAGCAGATGGATAAGATGAATAGTAGTGAGAAAACAGGCGGAGCTAAGCAGGTGAAGCGAATGAACAATCAGGCCAGTCATCAGCGCCAAGATCATGACATTTGGACCGTGGGAGAAAACAAGAGTACCTGGTAAGAGTCGTGGAATTTCTAAGCAGAACAACACAAGGGCAGGAACTGAACCTACTTGCTGTGAGGCAACAGTGTTAAAAACTGTGCCACTGTGCAGCCTTTTTGAACAGTTGTTCAAAAATTTTAATTGGGAAGGAAAAATGGAATCTGGAAGCAGTTACACATTTACAGAGAATCCATTGGAGAATACAGGTTAGAAAATAAAAATATACACCAAGCTTTGAACATGTCATAGAGCACTCTTAAATTAATCAGTATAGCATAATTGTAAGCCGGCCCATTAAAGGAAACTCTTTATTAGAGTAGCCGTTCCTGAGCTAGAGTTAAGGGAGGACAATGAACAGTCCTTCTAGGCCTAAATTAACACTGCCTTTTTAAAAAGCCCTCCACAAACCTCTTCAGTGGTTTCCCTACTACATCTATTGCCAACATAATTTTCTCTATCTTCCATTTTGATTCAAAAAGATTTTGTATCCGCTGCCTACTTCCCCCTAGGTCACAGCAACATCTAGCACCTGATTTGTTTTTGCGTTGCAAATTTAAACAAAAGTTCAGGGTGGTGGCCAAAACCCAATTCATGACCTTCACTTCGCTCTGCCATGCTGCGCTCCAGAGCCCTCATCTACATTGGGATAACATGTTAAACATTTATTACAGCCTCATAATTTGCATCCATTGTAAACGCACCTTAAGACTGGAGAACTGCAGCAGAACGATGGCCCTCAACATAAAGCCAGATACAATGGAATAGTGACATATTCATGTGTTGGACTGGGCCCAACTAAAGTCCAAACCTAGATTTAAAAGACAATTTACGGTGAATACATTTGGGTCTTTAGATGTGCAAAGCTGGTCGAGGTATAGCCCTTAAGACTTGCAGGAGTTATTGCACTGATAACTGATTGTGCAAAGTGATGACTCAGGGGGACTAGATTCAAGCACATGCCACACATTTCACAATTTCATCTAGAAAAAATATGAATCATCTCCCTATGACTTCACGATATGCATTGTTGCACTTTAGACATAAAACTCTGGTTAATATTAATTTTGTAAATTTAACTTTAGACCTTCCATTTGAAAACTTTAGCAAGGCAGTATACTTTATGGAATTAATAACAATAAACATGTGAACAGACACACACTTCGTTGCTGCTCACCCCTTACACCCTCTTTGCCCCCCTCATCAGATGAGATCTTCTTCTCTTTCGCTCTGCAGACAGGGGCTCCGCTGCATCCCTGATGAGATGTCTGAGCACAGACTAACAGCTTTCTCTTTTGTGCTCATGAGCACGTCAACTTACAGCACTGCGCAGGAATATGAGAGGACATTTTTTTGTCCCCAAGTGGGTTCACAGACACAAGAAAGTCCCAATTTTTATATTTCTCTGAAACAGAGAGGACGCATGGACTGGTGATTTTGTGCATGCACCAGAGTTAAGGGCAGTCCAAGGACAAAGTAGCAGCCTGGGAGCAGCACCCACCCACTTGCTCTGTGTCTGCATCGGTTCCTTCACAAGTGCACATGCACGCACACACAGCTGTCTAGATCCTCTCTGATTATGCATTGCAGACTCAGATAGAGAGATTAAAATTACATGCAAGGTAAGATTTTGACACAGAGCTTTACACCATTTGGGTTACCTCCTCAGGTCTTCATACAGCTTGTACTAATGTGGGTGAGGCCATCCGCAGTGCGTGTCCGTAATTTTACCCTGACGTGACATGATGTCCTCTCTCCACCCCCCCATTCCCCCGCCCCACGCACACACTCTCTCTTTCTGTTTCATTGTAATTCAAAGAGGAAGCAAGCAATGTACTGATAGTGGCTGCAGGCGCATACTACACCAAGCTATGATGTGAAACTATATGAGTTTGTGCAAATAGTTTCATCCTTATTAATATAGGGCCGAGGATTGCCCTCTACCTCAATTCCTCTGCATTGCTGGCGCTCTGTTTTGTCCCTGGCTGTCCTACTTCAATTAATCATATCAGCATCAAGTGTAGTACCCCCTTGGCTGTGTACCTCTAGAGGGCAATTTGCTTATTTAGCTCCTTACTGGTATCATTGTCCCTTTGCATCCATCTTCTTACACTTTGCCCATGCAGTCTGACACACTTACTCTTCATCAACCTTTCACCTTTCTATTCTGGTCTCACGGTGCAAAATCTGCAGCTTCAGCTTTTATGACTACCAGGTGCAGATTATAATCCCTTGCCAAGGTAAAATGATTGGGTTTTTCATTTCAGGCTGAATTATAAGGTGGCTCGCAAGGTGGAGGGGTCAACATGCTTTAGTTAGCACAGGAAAGAACTTTCCTGTCTAGGCTTTGTAGGCTCATTCTGTGTTGAATAAACATACAGTATACCTGTATAAAATACAAAGGCTATGATACACTTAAAAAATATATAATGGTTTCATGATACTGCAGTGTTTAATTGAATTTAAAACACAAATGTTCACCATTACTTCTACTAGTGATAGTCTATTGATATTAAAATAGCCTACTGTAGCGACCCAATTGCAAGCATGCATCAACTATCCCTATCAAGGAATTTTAGTAAAATTAAAGCTAAATTTTATCTGCTGGTGGTCTCTGAGTCTATGTCAGCTGCACTAATAACTACATTATTAAGATAGTAAATAAAAGATAAGGTGATTCATGTTCATTTTTTGGTATTTTAACAATGCTTCTTATAATTTTGGAAAGCTTTTTTCCTCTCCTTGCCACAGTTGTAGGGAAAACATAAAGATGGAGCAATACTGTAGAGTGTAGATGAGACTGATTAAAACTCCCTCAGCTCTACCAAACAGCTCATTCTTAATCTCACTCCAGTTTTAATTTATTGATTGATTATTTAAGTTTAGAGAACTTAGATAGAAATGTTGGATGCACAAACGTTTATTTATTTAATAACCCAGAATTCTCAGTAATCATTGAGACCATAAATTACCTGGCTGACTGATTTGAATTAAGATGGGAATCACAATCCTTAAACGACATGAATCAGTGATGAAATTACTTTGATTGAGACTTAAACTATTTTTAGACTTTGGCAAACTTGTTATTTTGTATACACAGGGTGTATACAAAACAAAATTTGTTCAGTACAGCCCTCAAGACATTTACATTTCTTAAAGTGCAGCAGTGATAAAAATGTAAATATGGTGATCAGAGGTAAACATAAGACTGAGATATGATTTACAGTTTTTCCAATATTCAGCTTTTTTTCCCTTCGTTTTATTCAACATTCAGCAGTCTAATGGCAGTGGGGAAGAAGCTGTTTTGGAATCTGCTGGACCTGCATCAGATGCATCAAAGCCTATTCCCAGAGGGCGGCCATTTTAAAAAAAATATTTTTTTAGGGGTCATTTATAATGTAACTGGTTCTGGACATGCAGTGCTGGGATGAAATGGAGCCTAGGCGGAAGTTCAACTAAAGAAATTGCTCTCCCTCATCCACCAACGACACAGCCAATCAACTTTGAACTTCACCCCTATGAAAGCCAATCGGCATCCAAAGCTCATCTTAAAAGGCCTCCGATCATCAACTTGTCTGCTGCCTGGTTGTGCTATGTGGCTTCATTCTGATGACCCCGTTTTAACCCACCTCCAGCCCCCCCTCCACCATCATTTGCTGAAACTTTATCAGAGCTCATTACT